GGCACACCAGCGAACTAATCAAAAACGTGTAGCTGAATCTGACGTTTAAGTACACTGTCACATGGGCTTGTGAGAGAGGCTAGAAACAAATTCTGCTAAACTGCAAATAAATATGAGAGAAGAGCAAGTTCCTGAACACCTTTTAAATCATTCTACACGGATTTATAGATGTAGGATCCGGAATTGGTCGGTTACGCGGTTGTTGGGCACTTGGGTATGAAAGGATATAGGTATTGTCACTGATTCTAGGAAAACTGGAAAACGCACAAAAAAGCAGCTTGAAGGACAATTCACAGGTGACCGTGTGAATAAGCTTGTGATCCAAATCGTCTGAGGCCAAACACTCCTGACAGAATGACTACCTTACGTAGTATTGATTTCATCGTATATCGCCTAATCCCAGAAGTCCGCAGTGTTCTCAGCCTCCGCGATGAGATGTCTACAGGTGGATGATAAATACAAGGCTTGCTAAATCCAACCATTTTGCAAATTTAGTCCACAGTGCTTGAATACCGTGTTTCAAGAATTTCTCGATTTCGAAACATCTTGATCCTGTTTGTTACAACTGCGGGTGGAACTGCCGGCTAAGTTTCGAGAGGTCTTCGAACTTAAGGCGAGCCAATTAACAGTTGTCGGAATGACCAAACAACCCTACAACGCTCCCGGGCTATAAATATTTAAAAAATGTCTTATTAACCTGCGATGTTGCGTTTGCGTGGGCAAGTTTTGGCATTAGGATCATCCGCACTGATAGATGGCAGCCACAGCTTTCGCGTGTTCCCTATATGGCTACAATTTTTTCTGACTTCAGCTTGCACACGGACGACCAGTAGCAGCAGCAAGAGCCTGGCAAGGCTTTAGTTATACGAGGAGTATGCATCTTGAACGCAGCGATGATCATCATCGCCTATTGAAGGTATTTGCGTGTGGGTGGGAGCGGTAGGGGAGAATTTCCGGACAATGTGCCTCAATCTCTATTCTCATTGAGAGAGTTGGACTAAGATGACTAGAGATGGGCTCTGGCATCGTAGCCGACCTGTGACGATTCTACACGTGCCGCAACACAGCCCGTCAGCCAGGTTCATACAAGAGCCTACTTATTTCACGGAAACCAGCCATCTGGTCTTATCTAGGATTGGAGCCAGTGACAGTGGTCCCTCAAGAGTGGCCACTACGCCAGACAACTCTTCGTGAGACTATAGCAATCTGTCAGTTCGATCTCTAGTGTCGCCTTTCTGTCCGTCTCACACCCACTGTCAGTTGGCCGCCAGAGCCGCTTACCAATTAGCACCAGCTTGCGACAACCCGGAGCCAATCAGCACTTCACCTTGAATGATTGGCTGCCAGGCGGACAAAGGTCAGACAACGGCATACACTCTTGGCACCGGAGACCAATTAGCTTAACGCCACACACGCTTGCCCGGTGAGAACACTAGTTGTAACTGTTGGCGGTGCCGCGTGCACGATCTAGGTCTCGGTAAAAGAGCGACCTGATTCGGGAACCTTCAAGTTGTCGAACATCCCATGTCGACAGAACTGGAGTCGGGGAATAGTTCTAAATGGAGAACAATCCCGTAAATGGTCCTTGCCTCGCTGGATGCTCACAGCCTTGTACTTTTGCACAGCGGTCCAATTATTCTGCCGATGCTACCGTTGTCCTTAAAAGGTCGAATCTACAAGTAATTCTAAGTGTACTTTTTCGACCCAATTGCTACATAGTAACACAGTCCGTACACCTCTTCACAGTCGACTAGCCAGTTTGGACCTAAGTAACGCAAGCCATGAACCACCCACTGGCTCTTTTTTAGTAAAAACTCTCGCGCAGGCATTTGATGATTTCTTGTTGAGTTCGCAGCATGATGGACAAAAATGTAGTACGTTAACTGCCCTGTCTCACAACAACAACAATATTACTGGGCTTCTACCCCTCATTGTGGCTAGTTACTGGAAGTTGATTCCTCGAGGACATTGCGACTGTGCTATAATTTTCCGGCAAGGATCAATATTAAGTGTTAATTCATCGCTTGAGTGCTTATGATTTTCTCAATTGGTGCATTTAGCGACACAGCGCTGGTAACCAATGAGCGTCGCGTCGCTATTCAAGCTGCTGCACAACCATGACGGTTCGACCGTCGTTTCCGATGATGTTCACCGCGTGCTCCACAGCGAGCTGCGAGTAGACGCGGTAACTTGCGCATTAGTTCATAGTGCCGGTAGACTTTCGCAGCATCTACCACACTTTCTCCTCCTCCAATTGGGCCCGGCGTCAAGACAGAGTCAAGAAAACCGGAGGCGGGGGAAGGCGCGGGTAGATGACGCGGTCGAGCCCGCACCTTGACGCTCCACTCCACACCCCCTAGTTCACACAGCAAATGATCAGCTTTTTGGTTAAGCACAACAAGGTGGGTGGCAGGGGTCTCAGTGTGCGTGACACCTGCCGGCAACCGGGTGTGACAACGCACCCCGAAATGTTGGTATTTGCTATGGTGCGCAATCCAATTACGCCTGCCAGAGTCTGATATGGCCTCGTGTTGGTCCAGTGCATCTACCACGTGGCCCGTTTGTGGAGCCCTGCACAACCACCTCCGAGCCCTCACACGCACGTGTTTCTCTTTCGGCCATCAGTAGTGACTTATTTCGTAAAGAGTTGACACCGTTAGCATTTACGATAATCAGGCTAGTACAAGTGAAGGGACCTCAAACCACCGACCCCTTCTATGCTTTGTTTTCCCTATGCACTCGCTAGCAGCGGCTTGCGGAAAAACGGTTAAGAAGGGCCACCGCCCAGGTGTCTGTTCTTACATCTGGCTCGAAAAGAAAGGTAGTTCAGTAGATAGTATTTTAGAAAATTAATTTAAAAAACACTGGATAGAGCGGAGCGCCAAACCAGACAGACAACCTACTGTTAACTTTAAGTCTTTCAGGAAGATGAGACATCGCTGACGCTTGAGTACAACACTCTGGCTAAGGTCCTAAAGAGTTCTTTTGAGTTTTTCGAGGCATTTGTAAGAACCGACGACACGAGCCAGGTAGCAAAAACTACAGCAGCAACGGTTTGGAAACAGAGGCAGATAATTCAGGCAAACCCAGGGGAGCGCAAATGTCTGCTTTATACTGTGATAAAAAATCCACCTAAAAGGAGCCTAGAAACAAACTGACTGGGCATAATGAAAACTGCCCAATCACTAGCAGATGTGTTCTGCTGGACCGACAATAGGCAAATTCAAACGACTCGGTCCGCCTTGTGCGGAGTAAAGTAATCCAAAAAGACTGACTGACCGAATGGCATTACCGACAAAGACAATGGAGACTGGAATGGCCATTTCTGGCTTATAAGCCGTCGTCAGCCAGCCATACCCAACCCCGAAGTGTGGAACACCCGAGGCTGGAACTCGCGACCCATTAGTTAGAAGGTCACGCCTCTAACCACTGGGCCACGAGGCCGTTGCCCTGTCGGTTTCGATCGGGAATATACAATGGTAGGGGGCGCTCGCCGATCAAGAGACTGACCGAATCCGCATGCCGTCTATCGTTAGACTCTGACCAAGGCTGGGAGGCCGACAAAGACTCAAGATTCCGCAGTGGTCGACACGAAGGCGGTGCTTAAGCGGGTGAGTTGTGAGTGCCTGCCTATTTATTGAAATCGCAAAAAAACCCACGAGCCGCAATACGCCTAAGGGCAGCCATCAGTCACAAAGTATCCAATTGTGTAATTATTTACCATACTGACAACACAGGTACTAGTTAAAAGCCCAGAAACGCGTGTTTCGCCGATCTTGTGCCGCAGCCTGACGCATCTGCGAGGGGTTCGGCTCGTCAGTAGGTCCCGCAGCCTTCCCCGTGTGTTTCCCGACATATAAACTCCACTTTCACAGTACCTTGTGTAATTTCCGAGGAAATTAGTGCGCGAACATGGAGTAAATTCTTCGGAACAGACCTTTCCAGGCACGACCCAAGTTCGCGCACTAATTTTCTCGGAAATTAAACAAGGTACTGTGAAAGTGGAGTTTATATAACACAAAACACATGGGGAAGGTTGGGGCACCTGCCGGTGATCTGAACCCCTCGCATCTGCGTCAAGCAGCGGCACAACATCGGCGAAACACGCTTGTCTGGGCTTTTGGCTAGTACCTGTGTTGTCAGTATGGTAAATAATTACACAATTATATACTACTGGCCGCCTGCTGGTGGTTTGTGAATATTAGGCGGTTATTCCACAGTAGCTGATTGATTTCAGCTCAAATATTCATATCGAATTTCGGAAAGTGTCTGAAAAGGTCTATTCCTAAGGATTTACTCCAAGTTCGCACATTTATTTCCTCGGTAATTAAACAAGGCAAAACACAAAGTATCGGCGTTGGCATGATCGGTGTCAGATAAAATCCAGCAAATAACCCGATACCTGCCGGAATGGAAGATTAACTGAAAACGACTGTTTGTGGGAGGATCTTCAGTATGCACAGAGGAATGGATCACAGCACGATTTTGTTGCAGTACAAAGGTCAATAATATGTATAAAGAAACAGGGTGGAGGTCCTATATAAAGCAAAATTGCGAACAAAAATATACGAAAATACGAATAAAAATTATGATCATGATTCAGAGATAGCTTGGGGGTAGGCAAGGCGCTGGGCATATAGACAGTCACATTAGACAGGAAAAGTGCCCCTGGACTCAGGAATAAGATATACCGAAGGAAGAGAGGAGGATAAGGTTCTCTCTGCTGCATAAAAAGTTAGCTAAAATAAAGTCAAGGTGGAATTCGAGGAAAGAAACAAAGGTGATCAACTTTTCAGAGTCCGAAAGAAATACTGGCAGGCAGAGTAAACACTGCGCATTCTGTACTGAAGGGCAGGCAAGCGCTCTATTGGAGAAGTCAATGCCATCGGAGGGTAACTTGAAGGTAAAGTGCCCACTGGGTAGATATACAGTAACATACAAAGCCGCCGATCTTTATACATCACCGTGTGTGAGTATGTTGCCACTGGCAACTAGCAGCATCAGGTCTGCTCCTCTTCGGCACCGTTGTCATGACGACGGTCAGGCCTGTGCTTGCGAGGTGTCGGGAGGTGGGGCGAAAGGTGGCAAAGGCCTTCTACCTCTGAATTGACAGGAGCGGAGGAATAGAGCAGGCGGTAGTGGTGCCGAAGGCCGGAAATCCGTTCCAGCTTCCCAGGAGCATAGTAGAGCCTAGGACAAGACAGCCAGGATAACACTGGTGTTAGCGGTCTTCCACTGACGATGATCGAACTCTTGTCCGTAGAGAAAACTCCACAAAGGTAATGAACGGAAATATAGAGAAAGCAAGTTCTTTCTTTGAAACAAATCAACGGTATCCCCTCATCAAAATTTCGAGTAGACGAAAGACACGGAATGACGTTTTACTAGCAGGTGGCCATAAGCAGTGAGTCGGAAAGGATGAGTCGTCCTTGTCCGTGTGTGTCGTAAGACGACCTCCATCGGTGGAGCACCGAGTTTGGGTCGCGAAGAAGGCTCGATTTAAAACGGCTAATTCGACGTAAGTGATCTCAACGACGATTTCACATTGATATCGTATCTGGCGGTTTTATTTCACACTTTCAGTAAGCCGGTAACAATAAGGAAAGTCTATGCCAGGAGTATGTTTAAATTACACAAAGTGTCGGGTGTGTATAACCAGTCGACTTGCAGAAGCGAACAGTACACGAATACCCCGCTGTGATCTAGTATACCTAGCTCAGATATTTACAAAACCACCGCGGCGAACTTAAGAGTTCGTCTCTGGTGTACTTTACTCTAAGTCCACAAGGTTATCTCTAACGTAATTACTTACTCTCCTTTGAGAACTGAAGTAAGGCCAAAGACTACATGCGAAAAGCAGGACGACTTAATGATCGTTCGAATCCTCCGCAGTTATATCATACAGCAGTATTCTAAAGACTGATCGGGAAGAAACATAACGGCAGATAAATAATAGCTCAGAACAAATGTCCTGTGATCGAAAAACAAAATCCTCCAATTTTGCGGCGTTCTGGCAAATGGATTCGGATTACAGTCTTCGGTATTCCATGATAGGTAGGCATACATCGATACTTTGTGTTTTTCGGACAAGCTAAACGCGGTCCATTGGTAGCGACGATCAGTAATTTTCCATTGGACCTATTTCTGCCTTTATCACGGCCATTATTCACAGACCTCCACTCGAGGAATTCAATCATTCTGCAGGTGAGTTGGTCTACTTAAATTACTGGCCTGACAAGGCCGTTAGATGGTCATCGTGAAATAAAAGCAATTCGTTTGCTAGGAATACATTCGTTTTCTCACATCACTTAAACAAACTTGGAAAGGAATTTAATCAGCCTTCTCACGGATGATTTAACACATAGCTTTATCAAGTGGAGAAGTTGGTTTGTTCACGGTGCAAAGTTTCGAATGGGCGCTTTTCTGTTAGTAGCCCTATTAGGTAAACTTACAGCAATGTTTAGGCATCTCTTACGCTCCTATAACTAATTCAAAATATCCAATCCTTTGGGTGGGAAAATGGCAGTGAGCAGGAAATAGAGAAAGGTTTCTGACTTCGAGCCTCCGCATGAAGTGGGGGCACACTATCAACAGCACTGCAGAAAAACATGTCTGCGATCTTCTTTCCGTGAGTGACCGACACACCCCACCAACATTAGAGCGCATATTTGCATCAGCCGCAGACGTCCTCAATGGATCAATTCGGTTAAACTGTTTGCCGATCCCACCTAACCAATAAGACTTCAGGAGAGACATGATAAGCAAAACCATGGAACCGAACGGAGGTAAGTTTCCGTACCTGAGGCTCCTAGACAGTGACTCGAAGGACATCTTCTTATTATTCTTGTACTCCCCCCAGAGTCGGGTGAGTTGCTCGGGATTGACAATCTGGAATACCTTGTCCGCCTTGTTTACCCATTCTACGCAGTTGTGTCGATGTGCCAACAAGTCCAATATGAAACTCAGCAGATGTCGGCGGCGGCCCCTACCACGGGCACGGCTTCTGATATACTGATTGTAGTGTGAGCGTGCATATTCCTGGTGAAAGGGACGTTCACCGTTCGTGAACCCTATTGTTCGACGGCGCGAGAGGAGGCCACCTGCCCCATGCGGCGGCGGCGGCGGCGGCGATGGAGTGGGGATGCTTGACCTTGAAGGAGTGCGCTTGAGTGGGTGGCTGCCGGTCGGTCGCATCGGTCTTCGCGAGAGAGGAAGGCTATCAGCCTCGATTTCGTAGTCCGAGGAGGAATCGGTCTGCCCAAAAATGACAAGAGAGCAGTCATCCGCAGATGAGAGACCACGAAGACAGGCCTTTCGCGTCCGTGTCGCTTTAGGTGGACGCGACCAGCAATAGGACTCAGGACATGGCTGCAGTGGACGCGTTAGTGTCCGACATACAGGGCCAAATGGGATCCCAAGCGTTACTGAAGACGTGGAGGATGAGGCGGAGGATGGAGGGGAGGATGCAGGAGAGAAGCTTGAGGGACTGACTGTGACTGAGGAGGAGGAAGTGTTGGAAAACGCGAAGGATTCACTTGGCCGAGTCACACTGCCTTCAGTCAGACGTTCATAGAGAGCTATAGTCGTAAAAGCAAATCAAACCAATCCAGGGTCAAAGGTCTCAAAGGAAGCCCACAAAATCATTCGCTAAGTGTAGCAGACTGGAAATAATTTGGGGTACGGTAAAATAAGGGGAAATTTCTTAAAAAGCTAGCCTAGAATATGCAATACTGCAGCTCAACAACCGAGATGGCAGTAATCTTTCTCATCGTTGTCATGATCACCGAAATTTCTCATTATTTACCTTTCGTTAACATCTATATACTGCTGGTTTCCTCTTTACCATAATATCAATCATTGTAGCCCTTTTCAGCAACAAACCTACCAAAAACAAGGCGACCTGAACTATGACCCAACCTAATAATTCGTTGTTTGCACTCGATGAACAGTAAAGTCGTCTGTGTGGGATGCAGGGGCTTCCGCGTAAATTTAAGACTTCCCTGACATCCACCGCGAGTTTTCTTCTACTTTACATAACCAGATGATAGGGCTGGTTACGATGACTGAAAAGGGACGTAGACTTCACCAGCTAGCTAAACATAAAGCCCCCGTCTACGCGTGCCAAACACGTGCTAACCCTTCAGTTGGCACGAAACAGACTTCGTTCAGTCTATCGTTAAAAACACTCAGCAGTGTCGGAAGTCATATAGCAACACGAAGTGGAAGCCGTTACAACCTGATCCCCGGCCTGTAGTATCAAGCTACCCCGGAGGTGGACAGCATTTGCATGATTGTCAACTTCATCTCTTAAAATGAAAACAAGTCTGCAAAGATTTCATCTTTATATGGCCTTTACATGAAGTCGCACGGTATGGCCACTTGGACATGTGTGAGGTCTGATGCGATTGGCGCGACTGATGGATAGTACGCATAATATGGAGGCTAAACGGATGGCTTTGATCTTGTCTCCAGTAAACTCAAATGCCTTCTCTCTCTCAAGATTGTGGCAAAGGCTGTGAGGGGCTGACGTCGATCTTCTCACTGTAATAAAATCTGGCCGCTTGGAACCCCTGCACCCTAAGTGAAATACTCGATGGTAAAAACACTTGACTGGAAAAGTTGGAAGTTAGCATCATCTAATGATTCCTGATCCATTCTTAGCAGCGGTACTCACGGTGGGCATCTATTTGCTGTCCTTGCAAGACACAGAACAAACGCTTGTTCTGGCGGATTTTTTTAAAAAGGCAAGCCATTGTGTTAGGTCCTTTCTCTGAGCGCTAACTCTTGGCCGAGTGCCCGTTTACCGGTTGCCCAGGCAACCAACTAGAGAAGCATAATAACGCAGGCTGTCTTCAAAAAGTACATGCGGCCTTAGCAGAAGGGGTTGGTCGCAAAACAAAGACCGCGGTTCATCAACAGCCGGTAGACAAAGGGGAAGTAGGCCGACCAATAACAACACTAAACCCGCTTGAGAGTTTAAAGGAGAAAAGACCGCGAAGACGCGCACTACCAGGCAGAAAACACAACAGGTTTTCAGTCATATCGGCAACAGTCGATGTCCCCACAGATCAACTGTCAGTCTCATCGTTTTAATTTTGTTGGACTGCCCTATAGCCACTCTGTCCGCCTAAAGTAGAATGTCACGGAGCATGACAGGCTATGGAATTTTGGCCTTGAGTAACAATAATATGCATACCCAATGAGACGAATAAACTGAAACGGGAACCCGGGCTTCGAATTTGGGCGATCTACCACGAAAGTGGCTAGGGGAATCGTTTGCAATTTTTGGTGCATTTTTTGTCAAATAGGAGTATCTTGAACACGCTGTAGCAGTGCGGAGAAATGGTGCTAGCTCTAAAGTTGCGGCCCATTCGTCGAGATCCGGCTACGAATTCAAATTCCATGAGGCCAAATTTCTCGCTAGAGGTGACAACCGCGTGAGCCGCGAGCTGCTTGAGTCATGGTTCACTGACCCTGAGTCCATTAACAAGTGCAACGATCTTCCCCTTCCATACTCGATGCTGAGACGTCGCCTAGGCGGAGTAATTAGCCACGTGTGGAGCGCACAGGTGAGAACCAGTCCCAACGCCAGGGTCGGTGGGTCAGATGGTCGAGCAATCATCACACCAACACCCAACACACGTGATGAAATTGCAGCTATTAAGGACGCGAATGTCGGCCATCAAACAGTTATCACACCATGTGCAACGATCCCTGATCAAGGGGGAGCTGTGAATATTCATAGGCATGCAGTAGCATGGCGGCTGCATCCTATAAGTTCCACAGCCCCTTGTGCATGAACCACCCATATCTGCTTTCGTCTCTGATGCTGGAACCGAGCATGACTCCGAAAAGTCGGGCGAATAAAGATCTTGTTCCAGCGATCATGTCGTCTTCTTCACAGTAGGTCGGTGTGTTCGAATGCTCTGGGTCGGTGAAAAGTAGTGAAGGATACAGCATATTACAGCATAGCTTGCAGCTGCAGCCGAAGAATAACGATCTGTCAGCTAAACTAGTCACTCAGTGGTGGTGGTGTCTGAAGACTGATTACGCGCAAAGTTAGGGAACTGCGAAACAAAACGAAGTGCCTGCATTTAGCCTTGCGGGCAAACTAGATAAGAAACGTAAGCCTTGACAGAGGCTGCAGTTTCATGTACCTCTGGTGCAGCGGGGAATGGCTGACTCAATGATCGACTGCATCTAGGCCTAAAACGAGAGTGTAACGGGTCTGGCTCGAGTTATGACTGGCTTACGACGATAACTAAGCTAGAAATGTTAGTGTCGGCTTTCCTGGATTTCGCTGTTAATATTCCTCAAAAATAATAAGGCATTTGATATACTATAAGGGTTACTTTTATGAAACCCCTATTCAAGCATAATGCATTTTGGAGTTAGGAGAGCGCATAGGAGATGGCATGTCGCGCCACCTACCTAACAATTTTAAATCAGAAGTAGTGATTGACTTTAAAATAGAGATAGTTATATGCTATGTACAAACTGGATGTTGACTTGGTCCTGGAGGTAGCTGTTGAGAGAAAGCCTGGAAGTGTGGGCTGTTTTCTGTGAGAACGAAACAAAATAATCTGGGTTGCTGGAGCCCATTCATGCATTTATTTTGCACCAAGCCTGCCCAATCCTTTGTACACCACTTCAAAATGTCAGTATTGAGGTAAGGGCGTATGCAATCCTTGCTAGCAAATACAAGTTCACACTATAGGGAAACAATGACACTCCTCAGGTCTCACCCAACAACTCTCAAACCTTCTGACCTGAAACAACTTTCTTCAGCATACGTTAGTTGACTGCGTTTTCTTGTTAGTCTAGAGGAGCGAGCCGCTTACAGCAATTCCATATTGCAAGCGCGCAATTAGGCCTGGGTATGACGTTACGCTGTTGCTGCAGGTTTTGACTTGAACACATTGGCAGAAAAGAGAGGGAAGTGTGACTATGACGACACACGTGTCAACCCTAACGAAACCAGAATGTGAAGCAGCAATCAATTCCTTAAGTATTACCGGATCAGGACATCTCGTGAGACCATTTTTTGAGCGGCAAGTTGCACCGATATCAAAGAAGAGAAAAACGAGAGGGAAAAAGCATAGCGTTCCAATCACTGCGCCTTGGGAATCGAAAACCATGCGGTCGAAATACAAGGAATAAAAACGCTAAGAAAGAGGTCGTCGACACGCATAGTTTATTGAAGAAGTTATAAAGGTACGTTAATTTGCGGTACCCATCTTTATTAGAGAACTGGCCAATGACGATGGAGAAAGGAATGGACATTTGTCTCTCCCCTCACTTTTGACACGCAGACCGGAAAGAATTCAGATGGGAAATGGAGTGACGAACCTGTATCCACTTGTTTGGTACGTTTTACTCACGTGTGTCTAGTGCGCGTGAATGACACTCAGGGCTGTAACTACAGTTCGACCGTCGCGAGCAACAATATCTACCGCGTGCATCGAGCAGAGTAAGGTTAACGGCGGTGACTTGAGCGTGTAATGGTTTATGGTGAAGCGAGCTTGCGCAACACCCCCCCTCCCCCCCTGACAGCGAGCGCGATCCAGTGTCAGGACACTTCCACACGACAGCAGGTGGGCGTAGGCTCAGTGACGGAGAAAAACAAGCAGTCCATCTACGCGTGCCAAACACGACGCGTTTCCTCCTCCTTCACATATGGGGGAATGTGATAATGGCCATATATAGGAGGAGCAATTGCAGCTTGACTCTCAGTCCTGAGAATAGCCGAGTTATCTCTTCAGCTGGTAGCATTGCAAGCCAAGACTGTACGCGCACTTGAAGTGGATCCTGACTTCAAGTTCAAAGTCGTAGAGATAAGTATTTGGTCCGGATGCGAGAAATTCCGTCGGGTCCTTGGAGCCCAAATGACCAAACACGGATATGTATACTCCCCTAAACTATGGCGCAGGGCCACCTATAAAATGGGAATGGCGACAACAGGGCCTTTTAGGAGAGACGACGTTAGTTTCTTAAATATGGAAGGTAAATTGCATGTTTGTTTTATCGTCAGTTCGACCGTCGCGAACGAAGGTGTTCACCATGCGCAGGGCGGTGATTTGCTCAGCGCTCGCCGCCCTCCCTCCTCCTTCATGCCCCTGGGCTCGGTGACAAGAATGACTGAGGACGACCGTCTACGCATGCAACAGACTGCCGGTCCCCGTGAGACGGGTCAGGTTTTCATAGAAACAAGAAATAATCGGCCCGGATTCCATTTCTGTAGGAAGTCACATTACGAGGGGCCATTGCAGTTGACTCCTCGTCCGAGGAAGATTGAGCTATCCTTTTAGCGTTAGAAGATACCGTACTGGCAGCACAGATACTGGCTAAAAGCCCAGACACATGTTTTGCCCATATTCCGCCACTGCATGGCACAGCTACGAGGGGTCCGGCTATTCAGTAGGTCCACCAGCACTCCCCAGCCCCCTTAGCTGGCAGCCGTCCGAGCCATGAGTTTTACCTCATCGTGATAGTTAAGAAGAATGTCAATGTTTGGGCCAATGTATTGTAAAGGCACTTTGTACGAAGGTAGTTCGGGGAAGGTACTTATTTCCGTGCCCCACCATTCAAACAAATGGACAAGTGCTTTTCGGGTGCCATCAACCTCAAGCTCAACAACTCCAAAAGAAAAATTGCCTGCGGATTTTTGGGGTTGCCCGGTGTCGAAAATGCTCTGGGGTAATATCCAGAGGAGGAAATGCCCTCGGATTATATTCGTCATGACTAGTTGGCGCTGATATTTTAGGTGATTGGATGCAAACAGCGCAACTATAACAGCCGAGGAAGCAGCTGTTGGACTATGAAATTCGTTTTCGTACTGCTACTTTGGTGTTATTGATAGGTTTTCAGATCATATGCTCCTCCGCAGGCGGATTGTTTATAGCAAGATGGGGATTAACCACTCGACTCAGAATCGTCAGAGTGACTCAAAACCAACCAGTTTGCACGTACAGATGGTCCAGACGAGCAGGTCATCTGGTAGGACCTCAAAGGAGAATGCAAATAAACTGCTGGATAATATGCAAAACCACACATCATGCAAGACAGCGAGGCAGCCAATGACGGAACTGGATGACGATGTATTTTCTGAACCACAAATGGCGGCAAATCTAAATTGGACGTGTCAACATGCCACTGCAGGCAAACAAACCGGCAGAGGAGACCGAAAACGGATTAACACAGTGACAGTGTCCCCCGACGGTCCGAGCCTATCAGTCAACAGATGATGATGATGATGATGATGATGATGATGATGATGATGATGATGATGATGATGATGATGATGATATTGGGAGATCTATCTAGCACGCGTGTCGATTGCCACGATTTCCACCGTACGTCCCACAGCAGGGAGGGCCCAGGGACGGTGGCGTACATTCGGATTAGTTAATTGTGATAGCAAACTTACGCCACCACTTCCACGCTCTCTCCTGCCACACCCTCGCCAGCCTAGTGTCAAGACAGATTCAAGAAGATCGAAGACCCAGATGACTGACGCTGCGTGATCCTGCTCCAGGACATGCCGTAACACCGCGCCTTGATCTGCACCCCCCCTCCCGTGCAGCGCAACTCCCCAATGGTCGTTGTTGGGGACACATACACACACATAGGCACCACGTCATATGCTCACCTACGGGAATGGAAAGGAATTGTATATACTAGTCAAACGGCGCTTAACTACAGCTATCACAAGGGCATTCTCCGCGGCGAATTTACGCGAATGCTTCACAAACTCTCCCCTCCTACGTTTAGGAGGTAAAGACAGACTACCGTTAGAGGCCACATCAATGTGTATTTACTCATTCACTTGCTCCTGTGGAGCAGGATACATCGGCCGCATAACGAGACGCCTGGTAAAGAAGGTGCGTGAATATATGCCCACCTGGCTAGACAGAGGTGAGACGCGGTCGATTTCGAGTTCTATACTCGCACATTTGATCGATACGAATCACCGAGTCGATGCCAAGGAAGCATTTCGGATTGTCTACCGGACACTAACATGATTCTCTAGGAGCCTACGCCAACGGATACTAGCAACGGCCGAGGCAGTGGTTATAATGCTAACGAATCCGGTGTTATGCTGTCAGAAAACCCTGACACGAGCTCTCTCTCTGCCGTGGCCAACGCCAACCGCAAGTGATGACGACATGCGGCCGCAAATCCCTAATTATAGTGATGGGTACTCCGTGTACTCAGTCCAAGAACATCACCCAAAGACTTTCCTCCCCCCCTCTAGCTCTGAGGGCCAAAACTCGCCGACCTTGTCATGACGGCGGCGTAGGGAAGATGAGTGTCAATAACCTAATAGCTCTTGAGACACCTATAAACACTGTTGATTTTGTACATTTTCATATTGGCCTAACGAAGAATTACCGAAAACACGTGTTTGCCAACTTGACTTTTCAAGTGCAACATGGGAATATTTACGGAATTGTATACTATTTGAAATAATACGCACCTGTCCTGTCTTCCAAGCAAGATTTACAGAAATCTGACGCGCAGCCACCGACCGCCAAGTCCTCCGGCAGCGTTTGGCGCCGCATCACCGGGCGTCGGTCGACCCGTTGGGTTGTCACCTGCTGGGGGCGCTTGGAAGTTAATACCAGCACAGACCTGTCGTCATTCCACGTCACAGGGCTAACACCAGCACCGGAGTAGAGGATGGGCTGCTTTCGCCTGGATGCAGAGAGCGGAGCAGAGGTGGGAGGGACAACGTTCGACACGTCGGTATTGGTTGAAGGCCAGTGCAGGGCTCGCCGTTGCACTGGCATAAGCGGCTGGCGCTGTTGCAGGAGGACAAGGTCAGCGGATCTGCAGGCAGATTCACTGTCTAGGCGATGGTCGGCCAGCCAGGGGTCCGTGTCCGAATCCCGACTAAACCCTGTGCGGCAATTCAGCTCGACGAGATTACAACCCCCAACATCAGAGTTGTTATCTAGGTTTGCAATGTCATCGCTGCCGTAGCTACCATAGACCATGGAATCTGTGCTGAGCGAGAGGCTGCTGGAGGGAGAGTGGTAACTGCGATCCGTGCCGTTGGGAGTAAGATGGAGGGAACTAATGCCGCTGTCAAAGCAGCCCTCATCGGCGGAGTGAAGCTCTGTTACCTCCTGCAAGTCTGGAGGTAGGGTAGGAGGAGAGGAACTGCCCGGATTCGCTTCAAAACAAAGACGACGGGGACGACCATAAGCAAATGGTCGTCCAAGATGGATCCGACTTCGATCAGAACGGCGCCTGCCATAGGACTTTGAAGGGTTTACAGGGAATTCAAGTTTCTGCCAGTCAACTTCTCGTTCGAGTTGAAGGTCATTGAAAGCGATCAGCTCCTGGTTGCCATTAACGAGACTAAAGTCCGAATTGTCAGAAGGCAGACGATAGAGTTTAGGTGAGATGGCTTGACTCTCCGCGTCACAGCCAATGTCATCCTCTGTCTTTTCCGGTCCCAGGTTAGGCAGGCCTGCAGAGGAAATGGTGTGACAAAGGAATTGTACGTCAGGAATTAGAAGTGTCTTAGCAAGTTACGGTATACTTTTGATAACTTATATTGGCTCCTAAGGAGCGATGATGGCCTGGGGATGGCGATTAGAACTGAAGGTCAGTGGCGGGCAAAAAGTTAAAGAGACAGGTAACAATTTGATTTCGGCCTTTGAAATGTCTCGAATCTTCAAGGCACGACATTCTATCAAGGCCCGGCAACATGTAGGCTGATATAATCGAACACAGCGTTTTTAAAAAGACGATGAAGATAAGATTTGTGGAGGTAAGTAAAGGAGTGCAGAAGCTATCTCTAAGCATCGAGTGGCTGAATCTACAGCACTGGTTAGGCATAGTCAAATTTCTGGGAGTGAACACAGTCAATTCTCAGTAATTGACTCAGTGGTAAAAGCATGACTGCTCCAGGGTAACAAGAAGCACGATGAGGAACCATCAAGCTCCGAACTGCTGGGTGGAATAGAAACAATACAGCTGGAGGACAAAAAAACGTTTTATTGCCCAAAAATGCATACTTGGTTCACCATGGGCCGCTGTAGGCACCCGCGGAGAAGGGAAACCCAATTTCGTGGTTTGCTCTTCATTTTATTCATCCCCACCATTGGCAAAATAACCAGCACATACTACTGCCACCATTATTCCGTTAAGACTACTATTAATAATTATACCAGTAACCCCCTCCCCCAAATTCCTCTTCTTGAGAGTGACAAGAGTCAACATCGTGACCTTCCTCCTCCTTCCATCATCTCGTCGATAAAAGTACCGTCGTAATCGTAACAATAAGAGGCGTGGTTGCGAGGGTTCAGACTACCGAAATATGAAGGACATGGAAATTTCGGAAGTTAGTGTATTTGGGCTAAAGTAGAAATGCGGGCTTCAGCGACTTAGACAACCTTATTTCAGACAGGAATTTTGACCCACTATGGGGGTGGCAATGGCCTATGCAGTACAGAAGATCCCACCGCCAAAACGAACTTTACCAGGAGATCGGGGAGGCATTTCACAAGTATTACTCTCACTCTCTAGTAAGCGCTTGGTTACTTATTTTATCTGCGGCTGGCACGAGGTAAAAAGGCCAAACACCGCGTGCATTTTCTGCCCAGCGAGGTATTGAGTCTCATTGAAGGCCCAAAGATCACAATAACTCTGATTCAACAGTTCCTGTAGCACTCATAGTTCGTTTTAGGTAGTGCGCCCTTTTACGATAACAAAACGCTTAAGCCGAATCGAAGAACAAGTAGGAAACTCTGCATGGTGAACAATTCCTGAGCTCATATTGACCTGTAATGAAGTCAAAAAAGTAGAAATCCACTGTGAGCGTATGCTGTGTGGGCATATCGTCGAAAGGCGTTCCCCTGCGGCTCATCGCTTGTATGATTGGATTAAATGACCCGCGCGTCTGTGCATGCACGAAAGAGCCAATGATCGAGCGGTGTGCAGAAATCGATAACGCGAAGGCGTTTCGTGAATCTTCGCGTCGTAAAGGCGCTGGCGACCTGCGCCCTTGCCACCGACCGAAGTCAAGAACGGAGCAGCGGTCTACACAGTATTCACGCGGGTACACGGCGGTTTGCGTAAGAGCTCTGTTCTTCACTAAACGGAGCCGTAGATGTGTCGGTACACTTATCGGTGGAATTGAGATGGCGTAAAGTATACTACGACGATTCAGCGGGCCTATGGAGTAGATGTGAATGAACTCACTCAGATTCTATTGTTCTCAAGAATCGTCGTTTGCGGAGAATGTATGCCGCCAAAAAGTGCGTCCACAGGCTTTGAATAAAAGTTGGAAGGAACTCCAGGCGTTGTAAATAAGTCTGCTCTGAAGACCTATCTGAAGAACTTTCAGACTTTAAGAACACAAGAATCGGATTTTTGACTTCAACTGTGCTTACCTACCGCGTCTTGAACAATTCTCACACAGCGCCTTCAGTCCGCGTGACTAAATTACCTTCTTGTTAGCGAAGTCAAATGCGCAATTTTGTTGTCGCTTGTGATTGGCTAGGAAAGACACTGGGCCTCTCAGTCGAATGGACCTTTTGTATTTACAAAGGCTGGTTCTACGTTTTCCCTCGTTTCACCCGTAAAATTACAGTGACTATCATGGCATTAAGTGACAGGTATATATGAGAGTGCCCGTCTTTGTTTGACTCGTTCTTTGGACGTACGATTTGGCTGCACCTTGTAGATGCCGCACAGTTTGTGAAGACAATCCTTGCGCCCTGTGACCTCGAAGGCAATTCTAATGCAAGGTAACGCATGCAACATCAAGGGTTCTGTCTCTTAGTGGTCAGGAATAACTAACCTCCGACTAAGTTGTGATTAGTTTCTGGTTAGATGTGGTTATGTAGTCTTATCTGAGACAAACAAAGCCCAGTCACGTGAAATACGGGTTGTAATTTGAGTGGTTACCCTAAATCCTAACCATAACCCCTCACCCATAACCCTAACCTTAACCCCAACCATAACCCCCAACCTCGACATTTAACCGCAGCCCTACATCCTAGCCCTGGAACATCTAACGTGAAAGTTAGAAGGAAATGACAGGGCGAAAGTCAAGAAGAACCACCGGCATTGGGCCGAAAAAGTAGACACGGCAAGAAAAGAACAAGGCCGCCAACAGAAAACACACCGCAACACACAACAACGCCATACCAACCTAATCACACTAACTCCAAATAATAAAGTAGGTCAACAGTATTGCGCCCATGAAATTAGGCCACATAACCACATCTTACCGAGTTTCTGTTTCTCCCCGAATGGTCGTGTAGAAAGCGGGTAACTTTCACTGCTCCGTTTGAATTCTTACTCAACTTCCTTCAACCATTGGGAATTGCTGCAAATATGGATGATATAGACTGTGCTTGGGGTCATTTCTGCATGTCGATGTTTATAGTTCACTGGGTGATTGGTAGCCACTCTCTTATGTAATGCTGTTAGAAAAATTTTCAAGTAGGTAAAGAGAAGTTTTTATGGAGTCTATTTTGATGATTGCAAATAGGGGTTCAAAATAGTGGTACCGGAATGCTCGGTAAGCCTTCCCCAAACTCTTGTAGTAAAATTTTTAAGTCAGTCCTGGGATTATTGGACGTATCGAACGCCTTTTAAGTTCATCCCTCCACTTTGTCCGAGAATGCAAGGAAAGTGTCTCCGCAGGACTGTTAAAGTTACACTGCGTGTCCTATCTTAATTGAGCCTTTGTCTTCGTCAAGGAGGCCGTAATCATATCGATACAAGGAAGAATGCTATTTTCAGGAAGCAGTTAAATTAAGGAAGCGCGATTGTCAGAATAAGAATTTTATAAGTTTCACGACAGTATAGCCGTCCCGAATGGCGATGTCCACCGCATGGCTCCCATAAGGGATGCGTGTGAAATAGGTTATGTCGAGACAGACGCTCACAGCATTTATCGCACTCTCCTTTCCCTCAGCCATCTTGCTTCGATAGCAGAACAATGTCAATATGACCGGAGATGGGCGCACATAAGTGAGAATGCCACGGAGACCACATTGAGGAGTCATTGCGGTCCGACTCTTAGTCCTGAGGATAGAACTGCCCCGTCCGTTGGCAACCTTTCAAATCACGACCTTTAGTTCGTTATGATAGATTAAAGTGCGTCAGTTTTATTACAGTGAGTAAAGTGTTGATTTACTTTGAAGATAGCTTCCTCACTGTTGACCCCACTATCTCTCCCCTTCCCTATGCACCAGTCGACTGTCCGAGCCTGTCGATAAGCTGTTGATGGGATCGCGTTGCGGTGGCTGACCTGGCCTGCATTTTTACATCTAGGGCGTATCATTCCACGCATGGAAGGCTATAGTTTTGGGCTAGGGCGAACTCGGCGCAGTCCGGTAAACGCGTGTCATGAACCACTCTGACCGCCGTTATAGTCCAACTTATATGCAGCGCCGCACATTCTGAGGTTCACTATCGCCTATGCAGTGTTTTGGTCCCTCTCTCCAGATGACTATGGAAGGATATCTACGCCATGTCTAGGAAGAGTATTACATTTTCAGGTTCAAGTTGGACATTATCTCGAATGGTCTATGACAGATACAAAGTCTGACGAAGTATTAACGACCCCCAAAGGTGGGACTTTGAAAGCGCAAGGGTGGACGAAAGAAAAGAAAACTATTGGCGGAGTTTGAAATTACCCCTCAGGAGGAAATACAAGAGAGCAAAAGGAGGCAGGTGGCAAAACCACAACTATTACTGGATCTCTGCAACTCCATCATACGCTATTATGTTAGAATGGCAACAAGAGGTGTAGGCGGAGAAAAGTGCACAGTCAACCAGCAATCGCCATCAACTGAAGCAGTGTGTCCACAAAACACTAGCGAACATACTATCACACAGGCTTTCCCAGGGGTATGAGAGGGGATGCAACGGCCATAAACCATACCCTTGCCACGGTTATTTCAAAATGGCCTGAGAGCATGGGGTCTGTTGCATAAAAAAAAGGGCCAGAGTCACCGTGCTTGACCTCTTATTGCCAGGTCATGCCAACGTGCTGCAGCATGATTATTCTTGTCTCCATAACGGAAACGAAAAGGGTGTGATCAGCAGCAGGCTTGGGTCAGGACCGGAGTGTGTGTGTGCGTGTTTGATTTCGAGCACTCACATGAGACAGAGGCGGGCGCCAGTAAGGCAAAACAGAGGGAGGAATTAGTCATACCTACGCGGGTGCGCGAGTGTGCACACAAGAGATCGTAAACGATCATGACGTTAACAAGTCTGACCGCCTCCCTCCAAATTTACAGGCGCCGGTGTTTACTCAATACGACCGCTGCGGTACGCATGTCAACTATGCGAGGAGCGAGTGTTATCACCTATATTTCCAAAAATGGGTTGAATGCTAATCTAGGAAGATCTCCAAAGAATCGGTCGATAATTCAGCGGGTCGCGCTCCAACACGCATTATTTTGATCGATATGCAATCAGCTGATTATGTTAGGACGCAGCAACCGGCTGTAAATGACTTGGACACCGAAAAAAACGCACAGCGGCGGTTGTTTGATGCGACAATTCGGCCGTCGTTTTTAGATGCACTATCGTGTAAAACAACCAGATCAACTGCGGGTACCTAGCGTACATTTATGATCGCTCGACTAAAGCCGACGGGGTTTCTTACTATGTGGAAAAACTGAACAAATGAACTAACATCTGGGTCCGGAAGTGTAGATACTTACAGTCAAACATGCGGGCCTTAAGGGAGGTTTCTTATGAAATACTAAAAAACCTCGAATGCGAGTTTGAGTTTTCGAAATAGCCGAAGTAGAAGAAGGCCCCAGTTAAGGTCATAAACACACAGAGGAAAATATTGTACTTTAAATTATGTAATGACGTTGAAACTGCCGGAAGCTACATGAAAGAACGTTAGTTTGTCAACCTGTGTCAGTCAGGCACAACATGAGAGTAGTGAGCAGATGCCATTTTTCTGACTTGACAGTCAGAGAGACGGCTGAAAGACGAAGTCTTGTCGCCGGCAGTTTAAGTATCTACCTTCACGTATCAATCGCATCCAGGTCCGTTAGTTGTGGGCTCAGCATTGTCTAAAATCTTAAAAGGTCAGAATTTTCAGCGGTTTGACATACGCTTTTGAGTTTCCAGAGATTTCCATAATTGTCATAGGGTCAAATGTTCTCAGTTCCCCAAAAAACTAAAGGTCCAAAAATGACCTCACTGACTTCGCTTTTAGCGGTACAAAGAGCATATCAACCCCATTGAGACGTGAAAAACGCAAGACAGATGTTTACCAGCTCTAGAGCTGGCACACAACAGGTCAGAAGAAGGGGAACCAATTCCCCCCCCACGCCAAGTTGGTTAGGAGAAGCTGAACCAACTGTAATACTTGCAGAAGGGTTAGGAAAAGAAGGTGAGAACTGAAATCTGTAAATGCCATGTAGGAGTCCCAGGCTTCTTCTCCGACTTCGCATTTCTATTCATGCTGCAAACTTTCCTAGGTGAGCAGAACTTGCAGCTACCTAACCTAATGCTGTTTTCCGCTCTTTGCGCTCCGTCTTCTTCACACTATGCACCACTGGCGACACGCCGATGCACTCACACCCCATTGGCGAGACGGACGTGAGCATCAAGACCTGCCCACGTGAATACCCCCCCCCCCCCAACCAGTTAGGTCTTCATTTCACACCTTGCACATCGATGCATACACGCAACACCAGAGACCTACGATCGCTAAGCCTAGGCGCAGGTGCACGCTCATATGTTTGTGTGAGAGTTGTGCACACACACGATTAGACAGAGGCAGTCGGTGGCGCTGTCGGTTGCTGGATGAACCCGAAGCAGACAAATCAATTATGCACCCAGAATGGATTTGAGGGTGTCAGTTTCTCCTTATCCGGACCAACTAATCGCACGGGCCTGGAACATGAAGGCTGCCTCAGCTAAATTATTGCCGTAAAGATAGGGATGTGAAAAACAAAAGATAAGCTGTCTTCGATTACTACTCTTGGAATATCACAAGTCATTTATTCATTCAAAACCTCGTGAGTGATTGACTTGACGTGCAGTGCTCCATTCCTGGAGTCCTAATTTGTGTGCGTTAATTAGTCACGTTGACATAGCCACCTTAATAAGCCGCGACAAACTCTCATGACAGACGGTGGGGTCCAGGTTCACCCACAAAGAGGGGAGTTGGTCCAAACCGTACCAGTTGCGCCATGGGAGTTGATATCTACCGCAACAGTTCGAAGCTGTATGGTAAAAGTCGTTCTACGGTCTCATTTGATCCTGCAACTTTGCTGGTCGTTCGACAGATAGGGCCTGATCCCCTTATTACTAAATGCAGATATTAGGTTAGCGCGAAAATTGACAAAACCGCGGGTTTGTCAGACTGGTCGTCCAAAATGGGTAAAAATGACACACAAACATGCAATTATTAGAGGGAATGAAGTTGACTTAAAAGTGATTTTCATGAAGCCTGCTCATTGAAACTACAAAACTGCAATGGAGGTATTTACTGCGTAATAAACACAGAGTTTTGCCTGCTTTACTATCACCAAAAACTGAATACAAAACAGGAAATCGTAGGATGCCCTGTCATTAAACCGAGCAAGGTTTTGTAACAAGGGAATCAACGAACATAATACTTATACAGACTTATGCAAACAGTCCATACTCGTTGGTTTCTGTTAATCCAAGACAATGTTCCCGATTCCGACGTTGCCATCAACAAGGACGAAAGAGGCACCAAGTTTATTTTACGACAAAATGCTCGTGTTAAAATTTTGAATTGTGACTTTATTGCAATACTGCGCACTTGTTAGCAAAGAAGTTTATTGCAAAACACCGAGTCATATTTTGCAAAGATTGAGGAAAATTCCTTCTCACATGCAGCCAAAACACGGTCGAGACCAAGTGGTTTCTAAAGGACCTAAGTCATAGATCACACCCTCTACACACAATGTGATAGGCGACTCCTACTCGTTAGCTACAAAAAATAAACATATGCAAATAAGTCATCTCCGAATGACGAGAAATGTGCTGACGCATGCCACCGAGCTTACACATGACTCCTGTCTGTTTAACTCGAGAATTCACAGTTATGGTCGGCCGAAATTTGTCGGTACAGACTTGAAAGCTATAGATGGCTAGAACGTCTGTGCTGGCGAGGCACAGCAAGCTACCCAAAAACTTATTTTTCATATACGGGAATAATAAAGATTTCATTTTTGCGTCGATTCTAGAGAGAATGCATTTTCAAAATACTTATAAGAAGTGAAAAACAGATGGGTTTCCGAAATCGGAATACTCGATTTACTAAGATTTTAGCGCAAAGTATGAAAGGTTCCAAACTTGTTTATAAGGCCTGTTACTTCTTCAATTACATTCTAACAGTCTGAAAATCATCTTTTAGGTAAAACGAAAGAGTTGTGCAAACGGTTTCGGAGAGGATGTGGGAAAGGCAATCTGGAAGTCCTAGAAACGCACAAAAATGCGTATCATTCTTCGATAAGTTCCTAAACTACCTACCTTTTAGCGGCGAAATATTCTACGGGTGTGAAGAAGGAATTTTCTTGAAGAATAAGTTTCCCTAAACCAAATTTGGGAAGTGGGCGTTTTGTTTTTAAAGTACATTAGAAAAGTCAAACATTCGATTGTGGAGACATCCAACCTTGTATAATATCCTGGTAGACGTCCGAGAATGTCTTTAGGGAAAAGTTCTCTTGCTACAGAGAAAACATTACTCGAGCTCAGAGTTCAGGTTAGTAAGCAACAGAACTCATTTAGAAAATATTCTATAGTTCAAAAATTCCATCGTCATGGAATTTTGGTAAAAAAGGTTTTGTATGAAGGCAGTCTGCTTTTGCTGCCGTAGCTTATTCAAAATCTCCTCCGAGTGAGGACATTGCAAAATCGAAGGTAGTAATAACCCTAAGGGAAAAAATAAACAAAATGTACTCAATTTTGCTGCGAAATGTTGTAAGTAGGCTGTAGGCATGACAGAGTATTTCGTGGCCGACACAATACCCTTTCCAGGTATATTTATAAATTGAGCCTCGAATGTGGCTGAAAAACTGCAGATGTAACGATGGAGGCTAGTATCACCCTAGCAGTTGGTCTCCTGATCTCTATTCATGCGCAATACAGAATGCTCTGCGATTCAACAATTTTTATAACTTAAGGGTCACGATACAATATCAGTGAGTATACAAGCGTTCCAAAAAGCGTATGTCTCACTGGGTCGAGTGCCCGCAGGACATGCCTTCGAAACTTTCTAAACTCTCCCCAAGATCGAAGAAACTTACAGAAGGACTAACAAGAAACACGTATCACAGTTTATCGCTGATTTTGGCAAAATTTGGTGGTGAGGTCGACGGTGACTCCTAGTTATTACGCTCGCCAAAAAAGCTAACATGAAAATGCAGCATGGGGGCGTCTGAAAGTCTGACACCGCGTCATACAGAGTTTCGTTTCCTAAAAAGCAAGTAATTTAGTTGCGTTACTAAATTGCAGTAGGATATTAAGACTCAAAGGACTTAAGCCCAATGACAGCGGGACGTTCCAGTTCCTCATTTGGAAACCTACCTAGTTTTATCTCAATGGGTACCGGTTCGGGAGTTTTTATACATCATATGCAGGTCACCTCATTAACACATGAGTTACTAGATACCTCATTCCGTTCATAAAACCTTCACGTGTAAATAAATTCCAAGTTCCAGAACGTAAATATTTACCAGCGCACAATAACGGTCTTTCAAATCGTGAAGAATTACCATGGCCACCAACAGTCACTTTACAGGTTGCTCTTAGCAAAAGTACATTAGAGAAATAGAAAGCCCACATCAAAAGGAGCACATCAAAACGAATGTTCACGTGCAGGCTAGCGAAAATGGCGCACTGAACGCCTCATCGAAATAAGATATGCGCACGACCGGCTTTTGATGTTTTACCTATCCATAAGCGGCAAAGCGTATTTTCTTATAGCAGCATGATAGGAATTGTACTGTCTGCAGCTAGAATCACTCATAAGGCCTGTAGATAAAACTGGGACCAACGGTATCCAGCGGATCGGCGCAGTTCACGCAACTGGTATCCGGCACTGATGCAAACGAACATGGTAAAAATAAATGATTTGAAAGCGTTTGGGTGGGTTCTCACCCAAACGTTCGCCCTTCTTGGTAACCTGCCACTTCGTCTGTATCTTAAATTAATTGGACAGCCGAGTCCGGTTCTAAATATAAATTGTGGAAAAGTGTTCGGGCACACATGGGGTCTCGGCGTTGACACAAGAAGATAGTGTAGGGAATGTGTAAAATGTACCAGTGATCAAAAACCACCGGGATGAGCTTATCCCTTCGTATGAGTGGCCATTAATCAATTTAGAGTTTGGACAGGTGTCTTTTCGACAAGAACGATGTTACAATCTATAATCTAAGTTGGGCAGCAGATGTGTTCCAAGAACTCAAGAAAACCCTTATCCGGTATGATTAGGAAGTTTTACATGATATTCGTGTGGTAAAAGCGTTGGATACAGGTATTCAAATCCCTCGGCATGGACTTCATGCAGGGTTGCAGCCAACCCTCGACCTAAAAGCGAGCCCCACGGGCGTACCTTGTCCTTGTTCTAGATAATGTGTTGAGCATGTGGAAGGGGAGTCTCATTGGTGGAGGTAATTACCAGCTGTAGTTCCAACAAGTCATAAGTGGTCGCTTGAAAGTCATCGGCCCGGCTGGCAACATAACTGGTTTTCAACTCAATCAAATCTGGTCGACTTTATGGAAAAGCGCAATGTACGGTCGACTTACTATTAACTGATGGAAATAGACCACCCTGGAGCTCCAGAATGCACGCGGAATGAGAAAGTCACCCAGTCACAAACTGCAGTTTGTGCCGGCTGTTTCTCAGTTCTAACTGCTGATGTTATCGCAGTTAAGTCTAAGCATCGAATTAAAAGTTACCATAAAGCCAATGAACCACGGCTGTGACGACCACTGATTGTGCTGAAATGATAAAAAATTCAAGGAGGGCTGAATATTTAGCCAATGTGCGTTTAGACACTATGGGAATTTGTCCAAGCGAGGCTTTTTAATTGGCAAGGGAAAGACTAGATTTCCAGGAACAAGGCGGTAGTGAGAATTACCTGGGTGTATGAATATTCCTTCCCGATGATGCCACTAAAGTTCATTTGTTTCCATCTGAAGGAGGCAAGAACTGGGTCAGTCTTTGGGTAACAATGATTCGCACCGAGATTCATGCGTAGTGGATTCCGCTCTCATTACGGGCCATGTCACCACGTAATGAGTAAAGTGTTGATGACACGAGGATTTCTTTTTCACGAGAAAAAAGTGAGATCTGAGACAGCAAAGTCTGAAATGTATTCAACCTAGATACGTTTGACTGGCGTTAGCATCCAGTATGGCTTCGTCCATAGCATTTCGAACGGTACAGTTGCCCCAATTCGAGTCTCGTCTGCACGATCAAATCGGTTAATAGAGTCCCAACTTGTGATTGACGTTCAGCGAAAATTTAGCATGTGGCCTAAAACGTACTTATCGGAACTTTATTAGGCTAGAACGGCGCAAACCATAATACAATAACCAAAACCTCTGTTTGTAGGCAAAAATTGGAACAGAGTATGAGAATTTTGGTATAACAAGCTGTACCCTTTCAGTTGAACCTTTAAGCTGGATTCAGGATACCATGTCCAACAGCTCTGTAGCCAACTATAATCCGAGTATTCGTTCATCGAACGTGCTGCCGACGATTAAGGTTAGTTTGCGCAATGTTTGCACGCATTTGTTACACAGGGACTATTGATCGCAACTTTATAAACCAAAAAATTACTAAAACATGTGAGAAGCACATGAAAGCCGTTACTTGGCACAGAAAAGTTAGATAAAAGTGACCTTAAAGAGTAGCGGCCGTTTGAGCAGGCTGAATATACGTTTTCACTGATCAGCGAACAGTTTAGTCAAGGACGAAGATTGCTCGTAAAGTATGGAGGGTCCAGATACGGAGTCGTTTCCCATTAGCTTAGAAACAAAACAGCCTTAGTTAACAATTGTAAATAGATGTGTCCACCTGGTTTGACGGAAAGGATTAATTATATATATAGATCATCCCTTCCATCAACTTTCTCTAATTCAGTGAACAAACAGGTATAAAAATACCTAAAACAGAAAATGCTAACGACTCAGATTTCAATTGTATCTACTGGACTAAGTATGCCAAACAGCGATAAACCGTATGCATATTTTTGTAGTTCCAATTTAAAAGAATTAAACCGGATAGTTTAAAAGAAGAATGAGCCCCAACACAGCAAATTGAACCAAATCGCAATATTATTAAGCGACAGGTAAATTTTGGTGATGAAGATAATCATAGTCGATGCTGAGCAAACCAGAAATTATCTGGTGGTTTGGAGCACCTATCCTCTGTTGACCTAGGTCTGGTGAAAGCGAACAAGTAGAATTGGTGCTACACAAACAAAAAAGACCTCTTTTGACCAGCAAGAGACAATACTTTCTCGCCGTTACGTTGACTACACATTTCTTATCGCCAGGAAGAACATGCTACAAAATTTCCATAGATTGTGTAATGTAATCCCCCCTGAAATACTGTTAACAAAAGAAGACAAAAAGGGGCAGTAACCGATTTTTCTTGACATGCTCGTCAGGCAAAATCCTGATGGCGAACAAGGGACGATGGTTTACGCGAAGTCAACGAACACCACGCAATCTCTCCATTTTCGTAGCAACTAACCGGTAGCCCAAAAATGAAACTGTGTGAGGACACTCTTGAAATGGCTCCAGGCTTAGCATAGCAACCCGAAAAAACACGCAAAGTATAATACTTCGGCGGACAATTCATGCAAAATGGCTATTCAGTGAAGTTTGTAGATCGGTGCCTACTTGATCGTTCCCGACTGACCCCAGCAAAAAACAATCGCAATATAGCATGCCCACCAAATATAAAGAATGCTCCAGAAACGATTTTTCAAATTCTTATGAGACTAGCTGTTTGAAATGTCCACTGACTAAAAGCTTTCATGTGTGGCTAAATCATGGAAATAAAAGAGCTCTAAGATCAGAGGGAGGATTCAGGCATAGTTCATCGTGTGCTGTGCTTTAACTGACCTGTTAATTTAACAGGTACAACTGAACGCATTCTCGGATCGTACATACATGAACATGAGCTAGTTGTGCAACGAGGATGGGAATGTACGCAAGAGATCGGTAATACCTAGTAAACGAGTAACGAGTTCAACTTAGCTGCCACCAACATACTCGCCAACCCCGAAATTAAGATTAGATGAAAACTGACTGACGCCTAGGCCTCGGTTGATAACTCAGATAATCGATGTATCGATGTAACGTTGGCATACAGAGACCCTTGCAGCCGTCCTCGTGTCCGGGTCATTTGTCGTTAAGTAGCTAGTAACTTCCACAACTGCTGTCAGTTCTGTTCCTGCCTATCTCTAACAATGGACTCCTGCAGGAATTCGAGATACCAGAAAAAAAAGTTTCCTTTGCTCGGCAAGGCATCTTTAATCACAGACAACTGGAGTTCAAACACTCGTCTTCACTCGAGGAAGTAAACTTTGTTTTCTAGCCCCGTGTTTGCTAGTCCAAATTGCTTACTCCCTACGTAATGCGCATCTTGGCACTTAAAATTGAAGATAAGCAAAATGGGACTATTATTGATAAATGACAGAAGAAAAGCCGTTTGAGAGGAAGTTGTGGGAGACTGAACAATCCGGGAGTTTTCGAGTGTAAAAAATGTAGCGAAAGCTTGGTAGGTTAAATTATTGAAACACAAGGCAATACAGATAACTTTATGCCCGTGGATTTCAAAATATAAAAGAACGAACGATAATTGTTCAGCTAAACAGAAACGGGTGTAAAGTGGCAATTTTCATGCACAACAGTTAAACCGTCGTTGCCGACGATGTACACTGTGTGCTCCACAGCAAGGTTAGAGTGAAGACGGTGACTTTTGCGTGAACTACTTTATAGTAGAAACAGACTTGCACAGTATCTACCGCACCCAAAGGAAGATAAATCTTAACAGTAAAATGGCAAACGGCTTCGCGTCCCTATACTACTGAATACTTTGCTTCGATTTATATGACAGTCATATCATATTGTCAGGAATTTTCAGTCCTCACATTATGACAGAGACGTATCTCATTTCACTTTTTATTGTCGAATACCGTTATTTTAAAGTTAACGATTCAAAGTACAAGTGCCTGTATACGTATTCGTTGACAGCGCGCCGAGTGTGTCAAAATCGAGAAAAAAGGTCAAAGCAGTCAATATTTTTATCGACTTTTAAGTGACCTTCAGTACGGACAAGCGGGAGAAACGCTACTCATGTTTCATAATTTTTTGGCTATCAACATGGTCACCCCATCATTTGCGAACTTTGGGCACATGGAAGATCTATTTCTGTGGTTTTGGCATCAGTTACCATGAAAATTCCACCTTCGCTCACCGACGATGTCAAGCTTTTATAATGTGGTTGTTTTTTCTGGTTTGCAAGTATAAACAACCCATGGTTTTGCGGCCGGAAAAGCAGAGCGGCTAATAGTGTGATTAAAGACTGGTTAGTTTACACAAGTAGTTTTGCACCTTCCCGCCTGTTGAAAGATCAGAAGCGGTGGATGTGATAATCAGAATTTCCGCGTTTTACCTATACTCTGGCGACTCGTAAGAGGAAAAATTAATTTGAGAACAGAACTGACAACCGAACTAGATTTATAGATTAACAATAGTCTTGTCTGCGAAAAATTGTTTACTCTGTTCACTTCCGGTTACAAATGACTTCTATAGAAGTCTATAGACTTCAAGCTTGCGTCATGGCTGAATTAAAGTAAAATCAGCGGTAAAACATAACTCTTAATCGACTTTCCTACAAATGCCATCCGCCCACCCTGTTAAAACCTTACTCCATATTTCCCAATTTGCACTAACGAGTTTTGAAAGTTGTCGATTTTTGTTTATTAATGAACAAAAATAAACAATAAAATTTTATTGTTTATTTTCGTAAGTGTGAATTCATATGAATTCTTAAAAAAACCGAAAAAATAAACACACGATAATCATACTGGCGAATTTGCTTAGATAAATGAACAATCATTCTGGAGATCGTCTTAGAATTCTAAGGAAAGTCTCAGTACTAAGGCGCTATTGCTGTTAGCGCGAATAATGATTGTTTTAAAATCTATGTTGATCGGCATTCACAAGTCCTTTGGTAGGTTTCAATATATAAAACGAAAGTTAATGAGCAGGATCTTAAGTAAGAATATATACGTGATCTTACCATCCTCTATAAATAAATTTGAAGAAGTTGCGTCAGTTAGCACCGGGTCAGCAGCTAGTTCGCCAGTCGATCTTGGTGGATAATAATATGGCACGCCGCTTACTGCGAACGGGAAATAAGATGACATTTGGAACAGTTCTTAATGTGTTAAAAACTAAAATTAACTATCCAAAACGATAACTGCGAACGTCTCTAGTGCGGCATCTAGGGTGTTATAGGATGGAGGTATAAAAGCCAATAAAAAGTCTAGGTTGAATAAGGTTCTTGCCGGTTTTTCTTGTCAGTTTCATTGGAATTTCAATAGCCTGTTAGTGAAATGCATTCTCCCCAAATGTTTTACGTAGGTATCTTAAAAATCTAAATAGACTTTTTGAGCGTTTATCAGAAAGAAAAATTTTGCCGAATGTGGATTTTCTGGACAAATGGTTTTTGGGTACGTTCAATATCAAATAAAAGCTAGAACCACAAAAAGGTTAGAACGAGTCAGATATCAAGACCAACAGCCAGGATTTTAATAGAAGACCCGGTGCAGTCCTGTTCTTCAAGATCAGCTAAAGGAAAGCAGTTTACGTTTATGACGTGACAACGATTCCGTTGCTCAGGGATAAGAACAATGAAGAGAACACGGGTTTGGACCTTACGAGTCCTAACCCTATGTTAGGAATCACTGTCTCATGGCGGTTAGTAAGCCTGATGTGGCTATTTCGTTCTTCCTTGTCACGATCGGCAATCCTGTTTTACAGGGTAGTAAATCTAGGGAACTTGCCGGTCACTGCCTGCATTGAAAAAAGGGGTATTACTAATGCGTTATGTTAAAAGCAAAGCGCAAACGACCCATCGAACGAGGTAATTTCTCCTGATTCGCCTGATCACTTAGGACAATGGATTTGCTCACGTGGTCATCAAAAATGAGACATTATACCTAAACTTTAAGCAAAGTTCAGGTATCTAAAGTCAAACTCTCTGTTGAGGAAGATCCTCGGCCAGAGTTCTTGCAGGCTGAAAACTAATTTCCATTGGCCCTGGTGAGTACATACCCGTATAATCTACTGTAATACAATCCATAGGACAGAGTTTGGTTGTGCTAATTAAAGGGCGAACAGTATCCGAGGTTTGGCATGAGGCCACATGGTTTTTTTGAGTTTGTCATGGTGCCGACCTACTCTCATGGAAGTTATCATAACTAGATTTTGCATTCCCAATTGGATAAACACTCAAAGATTCAGTTTGTACATTTTATACTTCCTCTCGACTGTTTAAGTCAGTATAAGTCAGTTTATTAAGGGAATGAGGCTTTCGCCCTTGAGCTCCCTATTCATATCGATAAACAGAAATAAAGTCACCAATTACATCAGCAAATGCGAAAAGTTAAGAAGTTTGCGGTAAGTGTGAGCTAGGCGCAAACTGCCGCCGCTAAAACAATCATTATTATATGTACAGTAGGTTCTCAACAAATGAGCGTCTAGTCTGCACTTAAATGATTTGAGACTTTCGGAAAGAACGACGGCATCAGGGAGTCCATTCTATGCCCGTTGTATGATGCTGAACAGGTTTGATGAAGTTATAAAGTCGACTCTGTTTAAATCAATAAAAAAACATTGAATAGTTCAATAAACGATGAGGAGTATTCTGTGGCCTCAGATCCACCACAACAAGAGTTTTCGGACGTTGCGCTAGTTCAGGTAGGCTCACAGCTGCCCCGTGTCTGTGGGCGCGATGTATTTTTTAGATTTGGACGAGGACCTATGCCCTCTGGGAAAACGAACTGTTGACAGCCGGTTGAATGGTAGTCGCCTATAGGAAAGGGAGGACAGGTTTTATCCGAAAAGTCTGCACGCGTATAATAGCTTCATAAAAATATGCGTCAGCTTTGTTTCCTCAGTTCCTCTTCTCAGCGGGAACACAAATAAAAATTTGGTATAATTCAGTATATATGACGGATGGAAGCAGAGCCTTTGAAAACCCTATTTATAGATAGACGAATGAAAAAAACATGCAGATATTTGCAGAGCAATTATGCCAGTCATTGATATCATGTAAATTTTTGACCATCAAGCATCCATTTATCTAGTGTTTTTTTGAAAGTCTCGATGATTTCCGCTAAGACAACGGACTTCGGCAATTTGTTCCATCCCTCAACCAGCCGGTGGGAGAAGAATTTGGTCCGCAAATCGAGTTTGGCATATTTCGTCTGCAATTTGTATTGGTGCCCTCGGATGGTGGAACTTTATATCCATGACGGAGTCTAGCGAATGCGCCAGACTCACAAGAAGAGTTTAGGATGAAAACCGATGAAAGCAAATTTAATCATATTCATGATGCCAGGTACCTTCATATGCTTACTTCTGCGCTATCCCAATGGCGTCTTATTCAAAGAGGCCATTTTATTTCTGCGTATTTACCTATTTTACCAGAAAAACCCCAACGCAACAGCCATTTTGGGAGGTGTTTTTGGCTATCTTCCCCATCAAATTACTGTCCGTTGTGTCCATTAGATTTCTAAAGAAATGCGGCTGACATCCAGTCAATGTTCGGACGATTTAATATGGTTTTTTTTCGCCTCATCTGCACGTACTATTGTCTTGAAGATGCACCTCCTAGACGAGTAATGCGTCATTACACAAATAATACTTGGGGTGGTGCGGAATAATGATGACAGTGAAGACTATTAGACCAAATACCGAATCACGTCGGTTATCTTTTTCTACTACTGCCAGTTAATATTCTGTGTTGTCATCGATAGATAATTTCAGCTTGATCGTGGCAAGTCTTCCATCCACCTGGACGATGATTCCGTAGATTCTATTTCTCCAAATAGTTCACAGGAGGCGTCGGTCTGGGGCACAATCACATGATACTGTTAAATCAAATGTGCTCACATCCATCAAGCAATCCTGTGCACATTTTCCTGCCAATGAAGAACAATCTTAAAACAATGGCGCCCTCGGCGCATGCCGTGCTATGCAGCCTATTTTACGTTTCCTGGCTTCGGGTAGACCATTAATTGCTTGCATGTATTTATATGTATGTAGGGTTAGTGACAGAGCCCGTGATGACCCAATTTATGCGCACCGATTTCGCATATACGCACTCAAAAAAATTGCAAACAAATAGAATGTTATCGGTTCACTATGCAACATTAATAATTACCAGTCCCGTGACCTGTTATGAAAGGCGGTTCCGAAGATTTAGACGATAATATTGTGACTGAAACCTCGATGTGCCTTAGCAAATCAATTAAATAAAGACAGTTTCCTATTATCCTGGCAGTTGAGCATCTTAAACGGACCACCGAACTATCACCGGTACTCGTTCGCATAGTGCAACAGCTGATTCTCTAAAAAAAGTAGATGAATATGATCTCCACCAGATGACTTGGCAGTTTTTCGTCTAAAGGTCTTTGACCTTATTGATACAGGCGAGTGGTTACGATTCTCTGCTAGCACATTTGGTACGAAGCCTTGATGCTTCCGTTGCTTTTGCCGCTAATGTTATTAAACCTGTTTAGGAGTAGGGGGAAAATCAGCCCCACGAGTGAATACCGATCGGAAGAAATCAGTGAGCATCAACACTGTGTTTGGTTTTCCGGTGCGGTACTTCATGGCTGGAATCGCGTTACGCAACTTTTGTTATTGCGCATGTAGCCGTATAGGACTTATGAATGTGTCAAAGAGTTGAGTGGTGCGTATATCTCAAGGGGCATTCGATTCCTATTAACCTCGCAGTTTATCGCACTGTCGTTTGTGGTCTGCAGATTTTTATTTCGAACAAGTGCAGCATATTTCGCCTTGGCAATCCAAACCAGACACGACAATACAGTCTGAAAGGCAAGCCATATCGAGAAGCAGACACACAGAAAGATAATGAAGTTTAGACCGCGGACATCTTAAACCCTTTTAAGCAGTGATGTAAGGCGTCTAAGGCAGCGACTTCAATGCCCTACGCTATAAAGCGGACATTTACAGTTTTTATTATGAAGAATGCTTCCCCAAAGCTTTCGGCACGCTTGTGATTCCGCTTCACGCAAACGAAATTCAGACCTGAAGATCCTGGACTCAGCAGGATTTCAATCTACTCAAAAGAATGCAGAGGCGAGCCACAAAAATGGTGAGATGTCAAGGTGCACATTCATACGAAGTCCGTCTAAATAACCTTAATCTCAGTCCTCTGGGTTAAAGGCAAATAAGATAAGATAATTTTTATTAAAGACCCGTCGAGGTCCCATCAAAGCAAGTTAAAATAAATTAACATGTGAATTTTAGACGAGGTAGGCTGAATCTCTACAATGTGCAATTAATAGATTCTGACTAAATAGTCCATTGAGCAACATGATTAGGGAGGGGTGAAAAAAAACTCCATACAAAAGTTAAAGATGATTGGATTAATTTTACAGGAGAAAAAACCCTCAATAAAATTAATAACTGAAAAAAGCGAGCAGGACTGGTCTGCAGGGGGCGGTATATAAGGGATTGTAGTGGGACATCGTCAAGGTATCAATAAGTGTCAGCCTCGAGGGGTACGTATGCGGGTCAGACAGGACTGGCCTGCATGTGGTATTGTATACGAGATTCACAACTGACATCGTCTGGACCGGATTGATACGCCGCATTAGACTATTTGCTTCAAAGAGGCCAGACGAGAGGAACCCAGATGCGATCGGCCACAGCACGCTTCGAGCTCAGCCGAGGAGTGAGGAAGGGAGGTACGACGAAACTACTAGTAGACGGTGAATACTGAGGGTTCCGCCGTGAGCGTCAACAGACCGCATGAGGTCGGAATGCGGCAGATGACATCAAAAACCGCGAAAATTGTCGCTATGGGGGAGGAGTGATAGCAGTGGATTTAGAAACCAATTCAAAACAGGGGTTTCTAATGATATAATTAAGGGCTACCACTTGATCTACCACTAAATGCCAGGAGGACCCTTCTCGAAGTCAAGAATTTTAGTGTTCGGGAATGAGACCGTTAACAGTGCCTTAATGGTTTCCAGTGTAAGATGTTTGCGTAATTTCGACTTGAATAACAGTAACTTAGGCGATAATCTAATTCCAGGAGGAAGATTATTCCAAAGGAAGGCATATTTGGATGCAAAGTAGAGGAAGTGCTTAGATGTATTGCAAAGAGATGGTGGAATCATCATGGAGGAGTTGCGCGTGGTATAAGACCGATCTCTCGGAGTAAGAGTGTCAAAGAGCGGATAACTGGAGATAGAGCTGAAGCGAAAAAGGAAGCAAAGGCCAGCTTCGAGTCTGTGGCGGTCAAGGATGTGAGATCAACTTAATCCACGCACAATAAGTTCGTTTCGTCTACTGTCAGAAGTCACGGAGCTGTGAGGACTAGTTTATTCTGTACACAGGGCAGGTTACCGTAAGTTGGCGGTTTGCTTGCAACAGAGATAAGCGTCCGTTCACGGAGAGCGTCAGTCGCGGTGTGTAGTTTACGCGGGAGTCAAAGTCTGCGTCCGTAGGTGGGGGTGACTGGTTGGATGCTGGTCATGAGATTGGACTGATAAGGGGAGGATTAGGAGGAAGCATAATTACAGGGGCTCACGGGTATCAAGCCCGGTCGTCCGACGCGCATGAGGTGATAACTGTTTGTGGGGGCAGTCCGGGGTCACTGCAGCTGGACAGGAAGGGGAGGCAGTTATAATCGGCGGGGGTGGTTGTGTGTCAGCGGCCTGGCAACGATTGTCGCGGCCATCGACCGAAAAAATGGAGCCGGAGAAAAGGAGAACTGGAGCGGCTGCTACAAGTCTTCTAACCCACAAAAACTTAATGTTCGCCAGCTGACATATCTGAGTATAAGAAATACCGGACGAAGCTTGAGAGAACAGTTTCCGGGTGAAAACCCTCTGAACATTTTTGATTTTATCACGGAAGAAAGGACAGCAGTATTCGAGGACTAGAAGAACAAACATTTGATAAAGTCTTAGCTTCATTTCTGGAAGGAAAAATTATGCGATATGAATCCACATATCTGCGCGGCTTTGGCAGATATTCTATCTGCATGAGGTGATAAAACAAGCTTATTTGTATAACTTAGACCTAGGTCCTTTATGGTGAGGCATTCTGAGAGTGGGTTATTCTGAAAAATTATGGGACCAGGAAGTTTGGCAGGACCAAAATACATGAAAGTACACTTGGATGATGAAAACTCCATCTGCCATGTTGAACCCCATCTGTTTAAGCGTAGTAAATCGGCATTAGAGTATGGGTATGAGTAAACACACTTGATGTCATCGGCATAAGTAAAAGTTTGCGAATTTCCGAGTTCAGTTGCGCAGTGCAGTTGCGCAGGGATTTGACAAAAGCTTTCCGTATCGTGCATGGCTTGAAATTCGCCCTCCGTCATTTTAGATTTTGAACAAAACACTACACAACATAAGAATTTAACAAAAAAGACACTTACTGAACATTAAATCAAAAATCTGGGCAGTTTTGGCTGTGATATCGAGTCGAGAGATTTAGATTATTAATTCAGCTTAAGCCCAAGTTTTTGTTTGAGGAACACTCAGTCAAAGGGGTGCCCTGAAGAATCCCTGGTTAGGTAGCCTTTCTATTCCAAAATACCTGTCAAAACTTTCAAAGGATATAATACCATAAAGCATGTTGAGCTTTATGCGAAAATAATGAGCATTTCAGAAAGGTTCTGTTCCAAACAATACTGGACGACAGAATTCAGGAAGAAATATGCACATTTGAGTTCATTAGCATATGTAAGAGACTGGGCGTGTTTAACTGCCGAGGATATATCATACACCTAGAGCGAAAACAAAAAGAGGGCCAACACGGTACCCCGGAGGACTCCACATAAAAGGGTTCTCTTATTAAAAATGAGGACTCCACTAACACCTACGGATTTAGATTTAAATGTTTGACTTTCTAAAATCTCTAACGGTACTGCGAATTGCCAGCGCCTCCAGTTTTACTAGGAGTCCTATATACAGATATTTGTCGAAGGCTTTGCAAGGATCGAAATAAATAACAACAACATACAGATGATCGCCACGGAGAGAAGTGACTAGATTCAGAAAAGACATATGGTACCCTTCACAAGGGCGATCAGACAAAAAGCCATGTTAGGAAGAGTTAAGAAGTCAATTGCTGTGCAGAAATCAATAAGTTTAATTGTAACCAATTTCCGGACAGTTTAACAGGAGAGCGCTTTGAAAATACCCTGAATATTTGGTAGATGAGACCGAGGATAAGATTCACACACTGGAATAATAATAGACGTTTTCAGTAATCAGGAAAGAAACCATACTCGAAAAATCTGCGGGAGGAATTTGCCGATAATTTGAGGAAAATCGCACGCCTGTTTAATAAGAGCGTTCGAGATGTTAGCAATTCCAAATAACTGCGAAGCACTAAAACGATTTATCACTTTTTGAACACTTACAGGATCAGAAGTAGAGACCATGAAAATTTATTAGACGGTTTGGGTCAGATTTAGTGATGTAATGAATGGCGAAGAAGGAATTTTAAAGCTCTTTTTACTTTAGAGAATAATTCGTATGTTTCAGCAATCATTTTGCGAACAGGTGTTAAGGAGCATATTAATGCATGTCTCGGCTGCAGTAACATCTTTTTCAGTCTGTTTTTTAAGCAGGAGAGGGACGATGGAAGAAAAATCATTTGATTAAGCCATGTTCCACGAAATGGAGACAAGAAGGTTTTCCGGAGCCAGGGCAACAGATCGTGGATAATTTTGGGTCATTATACGACTGACTCAGCAACCTGGCCCAACAATTCTTTTTGCCAACGAACTGAGTGCGCTCTCGTATACACAAACGTATGCACGCAATATGACCGTCGTTGCTTATTCTAAGACTTACCTTTGGATACTAGGATCCCCCCATTCCAGATGTCTGTCTCCTGTGGCTCAGCTGATTCAGTACACGAGAATATAGCGTACTGAAATAGCGTAACAAAACAATGATCTTATTCTTTTGATAGAATCTCGTGCATATCAAGCAGGCTCTCCCCACATGCGAAAACTCAGCATCTAAACAATTTCTCTTGTCTCTCTTTAACACTTATCAACTGACCCATTTTGTTCGTGCCCCTTTCTAATAGTGGGGAAGGAGACGAATGAGCGAAAATTTGTTTGAGGTTAGTAAGCAAATTGAATTTTGCCATGGTAAATGCGGGACCTGTACAAAATCCGTCCGTGAACGCAACAAAGGTTAATGATGGTCCCGACACAGTTTGATTCTGCAAGTCCATACTGCGCTCTTTAAAAACTTCAACATTTGGAGCATTCTCGTTCGAGTAGGTTTTGTTAGGGATGGACATTGCCTCCAGCTGCCTGGACTTGAGGACGTTACGCAACCGCATGCGACACTCGACAACTGTATCTGACTTTCATTTAACACGGCCGATGACCAATCCTCATCAATATATCCTGTATCCGCTGAAGTATTGTTGGTATCTGATGCTCATGTCGTTTACCAGAATAGGTTCCGGATGTCGTGCTTCTGTCAGGGATATTATGTGGCTTGCTTACTTCCCCCAAGGTTTCCCTCTTACTGTCGCACAGACCCTTTACAATTCAGTAAATGATCGTCAACGCCTGCTTTATCGATGAGAACATGGTCCGATTATGAACGATCGTTATCAATGCAACGACCAATCTACATTTATTTTTATCCTGCATCTGATATTTTGACGTGATTCGCCTTCTTCTGTAATTTTAAGTGTCTTCACAGATCAGTGACCATTCATAATCTAACAAAACATAAATAAGAAATCGCAAGGAACATCTTGATTTCGATATCAACTTCTATAATATTCAGACTTTCGTAATTGATTGAAAACGCAAGCCCGCGCGTTTCAGTTTCAGTTTATTGAAGGAAATATAGACGGACGCCTTTGAACTCCCTATTAGTTGCAAGTCGTCGAAGAAAAACACTGAGAAGCGGAAAGGTGAAAAAGAGCTTTTGCACATACTCGACGACAGCTGACAGCCAGTCGAAAAAAGTAGTCATGAACGGCTCCTCACTAATTACAAGTAGTATAAACACGTATAATTAGGTGCCGGGTTATTGGAACGGATGTGAGGCTGGTAATGAGAAAGCCTGATACGCATTAAGTCCGCACTTAAAGGAGTTCGAGCAGGAAGAGATCGCAACATCGGTAGGCAGGATATTCCACGCTGCAACCACCCTGTTACAGAAACAGACATTTCGCCCATTGGTCCTTGCTTACTCTGAGCGTAGTTTTAGGGGATGACCGCGCAAAGTGGGCGTGTTAGCTGGTGAAATAATCACTGAGATCTAAACAACAGTCAAGGTCGTTGATAATACGAAATGATAGTATAAGGTCCCCACGTAATTGCCTGTAGGAAAGGGGAAACAGGTTGAGAGTTGACAGTATGGTTTCATAGGGCAGTGCTCCCAGACCTTGTGTCATTTTGGTCGCTCGTATTTGGACCTCCTCCAAGACGGTATAGCACTTGGTAGTCGAAGGTTTCCCCGCTTGTATGGCGTATTCTAGTTGAGGCCGCACGAAAGTGCCAAATATTTTGGAAAGGCAGTCATGGTCAAATTCCATAAAGGCTCGCTTAATGACCTACAATGCGATCATAGCCGATTTAGCCGACTTCGCGCAGTGCAGTGTTGGTGTGAGTGAAGATGTATTCCATACACCCAAGTCATTCTGACTGTCAACCTGTTGCAGTGGTGTGCCGCATAGAAAGTAAGCCCTGGGGCTGAAGACTCTGAAGCTGCCGAGTTGAAGAAAGTTGCACTTGCTTATATTAAAGGGAATAAGCCAGCGCTTCGACCAGTCTTTGAGCCGGTTCAAGATTGATTGCACGTGGTCTGCGTCTGCCGCATTGTGAATAACTTTCCACAATTTTATGCCGTCAGCAAACAAGACGGCATCGCAGTCTAAGTCCTTGACGCAGTCGTTTATGAAAACGATGAACAACGTGGGGCCTAAAACTGAGACCTGTGGAACGCCACTCACCACGCTTACCTCTTTGGGACCGTCCAGTCAAACAGCTCTGGGTCCACAGAAGCAGACGCCACAAATTCCAGCGTCGCACAGTTTGTGCAAAAGACGTTGGTGAGGAACGTCGAAGGCCTTTTTGAAGTCGATGTAGATGGTGTGCACCACATTGCCTTCATCGCGTTCTTTGGTCCAGCGTTCGAGCGGAAATAGCAGATTCGTGAGGTAGAACCTACCACTTTGAAATTCGTGTTGGGCATCGGGGAGGAAGTGATGCTGCTCGAGGACCTGCATCAAGGCCTTCTTAATGATCATCTCCATGATTTGACAACGGATGGAGGTAAGACTCAATAGCCTGTAGTTAATCTTAGACGCACGACCTCCACCCTTAAAAAGCGGAGTGATAGTAGTGGCCTTCCAATCAGAGGGCAAGCATCCTGTAACAAATAGCGTTTGGAAGATCAAGGCGAACGAGCTAGACATTTCGGGAACGATTTCCTTCGGCAGTTGGGACGGGATTGCATCAGGGCCTGGGGAGGTCGATTCTTTCAGGTCTAGCAGCCCATTCCGAACAATTGTTTCGTTGAAGAAGACTGCTTCGAGGGTAGGCGTTTCTTCGTCTTCATAAGCGGGTGAGAAAAAATCAGTTTCAGTTATCACGACGAATCTGAAGGACTGAGAGAGATGTTCACCCTTATCCTTATCGTCTGAGATTTCCGTTCCCTCCGCCGTTCGCAGCAGTGGGATGTGATCTTTGTTCCGTGAACTCTGTCTGATCGGCATCCGTCTTTCAAATAATTTCGCGATGTATCAAGATATTTTGCTAAGTACTGCGCTTTAAGTGATGCAAACGTCGTAATTTAAGTTTTCGAACCGGCTAATAAGTTAATATACTGGACTTAACATTACCGATGGGAGTCAACAAACCCCGAGACCGCTGGCTCAGAAATTCTACAGAGTTGGGTTTACTTGTTTAATGTCTCAGTAGCCTTGTTTTGTAACTTCTACTGAAAAAATAGGGCTTTTCCCGTGAGAATGCAGGCAGTAAAGTCCGTAAACAAGCGGCTGACAAACAGTACCCCTTATGTGCTATTGGTTCTCGTGGGTCCGAACCCTAAACTGAACAAGGAGCGCTCGTTCGAAAAGTAATGAAAGGAGGGGGGTAAACGACAAAGATGAATAGCAATAACAACTAAGGAACTCAGCCGAGGCAGTAGAGGAGGATGAGGTCAAGGTCAAGGTCAAGGCGCGCAGCTCAATTTCAAAGGTAAGTGAAGCTCTGCATTTATCCGGATATTCTTAAGTAATTAATGCCTGTTTTTTACTTGAGTCCGTTTTAAAAGTCGCCTTTCTATATAAGGTAAAATTTTTTCCCAGTTTTGTTTGACAGTCTGGCAAAATAGTCGTATTTTGTAAAAAATCCATTGTAGTGAATCCTTTCCCTACTACCGCTTTCTAGTTTTTGTAGTTAAAAAACAGTAATACTTGCTATTCAGTGCGCTTTTCCGTACGTTGGCAACGTTTTGATCCTTCTTCTGTAACTAAAAACTATTTTTGTCTGTAATGCCCAGCAGAGCAGGTGCTAAAAGGCGAAAGCTTGCGCCCTCCCCTCCGTCTCTGTGTGCTAAAATCGTGACTGAAGACATGGCAGACGCCAGCTTATGTTCTTCGCCGTCTGCAGATCTGATTAACTCACAAATCCCTTTAGTACATGTAGAACCTCTTGACGCTTCAGTCGTCCAACAGTACGCTTCTGCTAGTCGTAGCAGGCCATCAGCCGGCGAAATAATCGATCAGCTGATTTATGGAGACATAAACAGCACTTCTGAAAAAGTGCTTGAACAAGCTTTTAAACTTATTGGGGTAATAAGTTCGGAAACTGAGGAACGAATTAAACGCAAGCATAATTTCGTACTGCGAAACATTCCGAGCCACTTATCTGCTATGTAGGGAGCGCATTTGTTCCTACAAAGTTGTGGCTTGAGTTTTAGTGTCGCACAACCTAAGCGACTTCGCTCGCTTAGCCGTAATGCGCCGATACTAATTACCCTTTTCTCCATGATAGAAGTCGATTTTATCTTGCCGAGTAGGGAGATGACTAGAGAATTCTGCCGTAAATGGCGCTGCTCCGTTTCGCCAGACCTCACACCCCTGCAACGAAGACTGAATAACCTAAAATCGGCAAAAACCAACACCAAGATAATGACACCTACTGTCAGTCTGAATATGTCCTCTACAACACCACCTGCGGCATCTGCAAGTCACGGCATAGTCAATTCCGTAGGGAGTTCGACTACTTTTAATGCTGACCTCTTTAAACACACCACCACGCCTGGTATAAACACGCCTCTATCGACTCCCTCAGCAACCCCTAGTAAGCCTAGGCATGTGTCTAAGTCAAAGGCAAATCCAATTGCTGTCTCAGCCACTCGGACACCCAATAAATCCAGCACCATTATAAAATATTTTCCTCCACAATCGGCTAACAGTGCCTCAAATACCCCGACTCAAAACGTAGCGGGTTCGCAACTGCCCCCCAGCCCTCATATCAAGGCAGTTAGGCCAAATATGCCGATTTTCCCACCGTTTAATAGACCTCTTGTTCCAATGGAAACAATGCGTCCCCCACCCCCTAACTTGTTTCCTCCACGGCCGTTTTACCAATTTATTCCTCATGATAACGTCCATACTGAATCAGTTAATTCATCCTATCCTCAGTTTCGTTCCGGCGGGAATACGTTGCAGTATCTGCCACGCGGATTTCCAGCTGAGAATAAGTTAGCTAACAATAGTTACCAGTTTACTTGCCCTTCATTCCCTCCCCCAAGTCCTACCCCTTTTTATCCACATCAGAATTTTTCGATGCCACAAAATTTTTTGCAGAACCGGATGGTTGCATCCGGACCGTTTGCTCCGTGGGCGACCCAGAACTGGACGATATAGCCCACCTCCCTCAAAAACTAACTGCCTTTCCCTTCAAACTTTTTGTTTTAAATGCCAGATCCTTGCTTAATAAGATGCCTTTGCTTCAGACTCAGGTGTTCGTCCATTGTCCTGATATTGTTTTAGTAACTGAGACGTGGGCATCAGCCTCAGTAGCTGACTCCGAACTCTCTCTTCTAGGCTACAATTGCATTCGAAATGATCGCCAAGATAGCCGTGGTGGGGGCAGCTGCGTCTACGTTAAGCAAACACTTACATGTTTGCCGTTGGACCTCCCGCACTTTTCCGCAGTAGAAGGCAGCTGCTGGCTCCAGGTTGCACTAAAAAATAAGTTCTCCTTACTTATTGGCTGCGTCTATCGCCCTCCCAACGCCAATGACAATTTTGATCGTTTACTCTCACAGGCATTTCATGCTGCGGCCGACTTAAGCTTTAAGTGTCAACTGGTTGCGGGTGACTTTAATCTCCCTGATGTCCGCTGGTCTCCGCCTTCAGGCCCCAGAAGGTTCGATGACTTTCTTGAGGCTGTGGATGTCGGGATGTGGACTCAGGTTGTTGATTTTCCCACCCGAGGCTCAAGTATACTTGACTTAATTTTCTGTAGAGGCTGCTTGCCATCGTCGGTGTCATCCCTAGGCCCACTTGGGGGCTCAGACCATGACATAGTTGTTTCAACGTTGGAATTCGAGGCTGACGAAATGTCATCCCAAAAGTATAACTTTTTCCGCGATTTCCGATCAACTCGTTCAACCGAATTATTAACACACCTTAATTCCTACGACTGGACTGAGTTCTTCCTTTGTTCGGATGTAAATGTTTGCACAGCAAAACTGTACGAAATTTTGGATCCGCTTATTTCTCGTTTTGTCCCCCGTAAGAAAATTATTAATGATGGGGATGAGATTTTCCTACCCTTGCCCTTTCGTCGCAGATTGCGCAGACTTTATCGTCGTTTCCATCTGCAGAACGATATTTCTGTTCTGCCCTTGATTTGTGATATTTTTGATCGAGCTAAGAGATTGCCTGAATAAAAACAGCTAGCCGAAGAGGTCCAGTTCACCGAAAAACATTCGTTAAATGTCTCGAAACTTTTCTCTAGAAAAATACGAACTCAGAGAAAGACGCAGTATCCCAATCTTCGAGACGATCTCGGAAATCCCATAGTTGATGCCCAGTTAACCGCGGATAGCTTCAATGATTTCCTGTCCAAAACGTTTATTGAAGACTCAACCACTCCGCATCCAACCATCCAGTCATTGACCGGGGCAGTTCTAGAAACTATAACTTTCACTCTGTGGGATGTGACTGTTGCGATTCGGCGCTTTCGTCAATCTTATAGTCCAGGCCCTGATGGTGTCCCAGTAAGCATTTTAAAAGCCGATGCAAACACGATCTCTTCATCCCTCTTATGCAAGATATTTAATCTTGCTCTTGAAAGTGAAACTTACCCTACCCTGTGGAAGGAATCACACATTTGGCCGTTCCTATGCACGCCAAATCTACATCATTTGATGACTTTTGGCCAATAAACACCCTCCTTGCAGTTTCGAAGATCTTAGAGACATTGATCAAGGATAAGATGATGTGTCACTTAACAGCGAATAACTTACTGAGTGCTGCTCAGCATGGGTTCCTCAAAGCTCGATCTTGTGACACCTGTCAACTCTCTTTCTTTGACTATGTTCTCCAAACTAGGGACCACGGTTTTGCTCTTTACACAGTATATTTCGATTTCACTAAGGCTTTTGACCGTGTTGACCATGCTCTTCTCCTCTTGAAATTGTTCTCTTTCGGAATAGGTGGCAAACTTTTGAATTTTATATCCTCTTATTTGGGCACTCGCACACAACGCGTTAAGATTTCCAATACCATCTCCAACCCCACACGTGTGAGGAGTGGAGTCATTCAGGGTAGTGTACTCGGCCCGCTTTTATTTTGCCTTTTCGTTAATGATGTACACGATTTATTTCAGAATGGTAAGCCTTTCATGTATGCCGATGATCTTAAAGTTGCATATCGATATAAGCCGGCAGATCATGACATCGTGCTTGAGCTCCTAAAGAGCGATCTACAGGCTTTCGCACAGTGGTGCCGCACATGGCACCTTTCTCTTTCTTGGCATAAGTGTTCAGTCATGATGGTTCGCGACGACCGCCAACCTCAACTAAGTATTGAAGGTCACGCAATAAATGTGCTAGGGGTTATAAAGGATTTGGGCGTATCATACTCCAAGAGTCTCAATCTCTCGGAGCACTGTGCCTTGATAGTCTCCAAAGCACGTAGAACGACCGGGTTATTCCTCCGAAATTTTAAAACTAGGGACATTAGAATGCGCCTTTTCAACATGTACGTTAGACCTGGTCTGAATTTCTGTTCGTTTTCATTTAGCCTCATGCGTGCTACTGAGCGGAAGAAAATAGAATCCGTTCAACACTTTTTTTACCAAGAGAATTTTAACCCCGGAACACCGACATTTGTCGTACCAAGAACGTTGCCGGCTTACAGGTCTCCATCCTTTATGGTTCCGTAGATTACAAAGGGGACTATTTCTGCTATTTAAACTCTTATATATATATACATATATATAAACTCTTATAAACATTTAACCCACTCACCTCTTTAAGACATCATATCCACCCACGACGTAACAGTCACCGTGAGTTCTTCTTATTTCTGCCTCTGGCACGTACTGTTAAATATCGTCGGTTCTTTTCTGTAAATGCAATTGCTATTTGGAATAAACTACCCATGAGTGTGAAAACTCTGCAAAATTATCCTTTATTTAAGAGAACTATTACTCGATTTTTGCATTCAGAAAAGCTCCCACAAATTTTGGGTGC